CATCCGTTAACCCTGCTGCTCCCAGTACTGATGACATATGCTTGAAGGCAGTTCCTCCCAGAAAGGCCATATTTGTGTCAAGACTGGCACCAGATACATCTGTTGAAAACATAAGGGGTTATCTGGCTGCGAAAGCCCCTTCTGTCAATTTAAAGCGAGTTAGTATTTTCAAACTGGGTCCTTCTCAATCTAGAGCTATCTCATCTTTTAAAATTCTAGTTCCGACCGAAAATATGGATTTGATTTTAAATAAAACTCTGTGGCCGGTTGGATCATTAATTAAGGAATTTATCCCTCGGGACCGACCCCGTAATGCGAATGCATTAGCTCTTTCCCCTTCAAAAAACTAAATACTTCTTCAGCCTCATTTTCTCTCATTTATCAAAATGTTAGGGGCCTAAACTCAAAAATTCGTTCTACCTTCCTAAATTCAGTGAGTACGGAGTTTGCCTGTCTGGTCTTCACTGAAACATGGCTGAAGCCAGTTCTACATTCGTCGGAACTTTTCCATAATTCGTTTCAAGTTTTCAGAAACGATCGTTTGTATCGCAATGGTGGTGGTGTTTTAATTGCTATTTCTACGGCACTCCCCACCTATTCGTTTGAATTTCCAACTACTCCCGATGTTGAATTTATCGCCATTCGAGTGAAATTTCCTAACAAACACTTATATGTGACCTGCTCCTATATTCCCCCAAATTCGGATATCTCTGTATATAAGAAACAGGCCGCCCTCATTTGTGAAGTGGCCAAGCAATCTAAACCTACCGATATGGTCCTTGCGTTGGGTGACTTCAACTTGCCTCAAGTCAATTGGTTTTACAGTGATAGTTCTGGCTGTTTGATTCCTTCCTCAACATCTGATAAAACCGTTGTGTTCTTCAATGAATTATTTGATAATAACTTAGTTCAATACAATGGTACCCCTAATTGTAATGGGAGATTTCTTGATCTCTGCTTTGCAAATTTTCCTGAGGTTTGCGTTAATCGTTGTTTTCCGTTTAGTTTACCTGAGGATCCATATCATCCAGCATTGGGTGTTTCCTTTCATTACAAGTATGTTGGTTCGTTGAACCTCTATAACGTTCCAAATTCAAATTTTTCATATCAACGTTATGATTTCCATAAAATCAATGTTCCCATACTAAAATCACATCTTTCTCATTTTGTGCTCGATTTTTCTGAGGGAAGCATTGATAGCTTACTGTCGTCGTTCTACAATGTATTAAATCAAGCTATTTCTGCATCCGTTCCGATCAAGCAGTCCCGTCCTCGAAGTAAGAATCCCCCGTGGTTTAATAAGACAATTAAATACTTCAAGAATAGGAAAAACAAGTTGTTCAAAAAATTTTCGAAAAGTGGTTCTTCTTTCGACTATTTCGCTTACTCTGTTGCAAGGCATAAATTTAATTCCCTCAACCGCCAATACTACTGCAGATACCTTCAGTTTGTTAAATCCGCCTTGTTTTCTAACCCTAAATACTTTTTTAAGTTCGTTAATTCCAAAAGAAAAATCTCCATAAATCCGTCGTTTGTGTCTTTTAATGGCTCCGAGTCCTCGGATGATTTTGAATCCTCAAATCTCTTTGCGGAATACTTCCGACAGAACTTTTCAACTGCCAATTTTGATTTATCGGAAAATTATCCATATTCGATTTCTAATTCGGTTTCAATTCCTAACTTTGTTATATCGGAAAATGACGTTTTTGAAGGATTGAACTCTCTGAAATATAATTGTTCGCCTGGACCCGATGGGATCCCCTCATGTGTACTTATATCTTGTGCTAGCGAGCTTTGTGATGTTATCTCAAAGATTTTTAATAAGTCTTTGAATTTAGGTGTTTTCCCTTTGTGTTGGAAGACTTCTTTCCTTATTCCTATTCACAAAAGTGGTAGTAGGCAACTTGTAGAGAACTACAGAGGCATCGCCAAGTTGAGTGTCCTACCTAAACTGTTCGAGCGAATTGTGGCTCAGCATATAGCCTTTTCCATGAAATTGTATATTTCTCCTTTCCAGCATGGTTTTCAAAAGGGAAGATCTACGGTGACCAATCTGTTGGAGTTTACTTCTCATGTTTTCAAGGCTTTTTCTAGTGGTTCTCGCACTGATGTCATTTACACCGACTTTAGCAAGGCGTTTGATATGGTTAATCATAGACTTCTTAGATTTAAAATCCAGACCTCTGGCTTTCCTCTCTTCTTAGTTGAATGGTTAAGCTCTTATCTGTATGGTAGATCATTCAGGGTTTTGTTTAACCTCATTACCGCGGATGAATTTCCCGTGACGTCTGGCGTACCTCAAGGTAGCCACTTGGGACCTATTTTATTTAATCTTTACATCAATGATTTGCCCTCCGTGATTAAATTCAGTAAGATTTTAATGTATGCTGATGATGTGAAACTGTTTACTTCTTTTTCCGTAGAATCGCAATCACATCATCTTCAAAGTGATTTGAACAATTTGGTTGCATGGTGCTCCCTCAATCTTCTGAAGCTAAATCTAAATAAATGTAAGAAGCTTTCTTTCTTAAGAAGGAAGTCGTTTAGTACCCAATACTTCATTGATTCGCACAGGTTGGAAGACGTCGATTCGTTCATAGATTTAGGCGTTCTATTCGATTATAGGTTACGTTTCAATTTGCATATTGAGTCCTCGTTAAGCAAAGCTAGGTCGGCTCTTGGTTTTATACAGAGGTGGTCCAAAGAGCTTGATGATCCTTATATTACTAAAAGGCTTTACACGTGTTTGGTTAGACCTATTCTTGAGTATGCCTCTGTTGTGTGGTCTTCTTCATATAGATGCTACGTAGGTTCAATTGAATCTATACAAAAGCAATTCTTGCTGTTTGCCCTTAGGAATTTGGGTTAGGACCCGATTTCCCCTCTTCCACCCTATGAAAATAGGTTGCTTCTGTTATCCTTACCGTCACTCGAGAAACGTAGATTTGTTCTTGGGGTTTCCTTCCTAATCAAATTAATAAATGGTGCAATTGATTCGCCCGCATTACTTCGTGAGATTTGCTTTAATGTCCCTAACCGCTTCTCTAGGCACTTTATGTTGATAAAGCTTAGTCAATGCAAATATAACTTTGAACTGTTTAACCCGCTCAGAGTTGTTTGCAAGAACCTAAATGATGTCTATCATCTATTCTCATTAACGGACTCTTTAAAGTCCATTAAAGCAATTTTGCTCAACAAGCGCGATTTACCTATGTCGTACTTAAACTGATTTAACCTTAGATTTTGTCATTATGAATCGAAAATTAATTTGTTAACAATTATCGGTTGCCAAGCTTATGCATGTTTGCGATGGCTTAGGGGTTCACTTGCAATTTGGTCCTGTATCGGTTGTGGGTGTGGCTCTATGCTAATTGTGTACATGCTTTTTTTTTCCTCCTTATTTGTTTTATTGTACTTATACTAAGTTTTATTATTAAATAATTTTAAGATTTACTTAAGAGTCAATTGAACTCGACTGCTATTTTGTTTTAGTTGAGTTTCTTGTATAAGTGGAATAAATAAAATAAATAAAATAAATAAAATAAAATAAAAGAAATTTTGCAATGCAAGAAAAAGATGATAATCGCTTGATGACAAGTCCGGACTGTATGGCGGATGCATTAAAACTTCCCAACCAAGCTCCCGAAGTTACTGGTGAGTCACGGTAGATGTGTCTGGTCTAGCGTTGTCCTGGTGGAACACGACACCTCTCCTGTTGACCAATTCTGGCCGTTTCTGGTCAATCGCTATCTTCAAACGGTCCAGTTGTTGACAGTAGAGATCAGAATTTAGCGTTTGGCCATGTAGAAGCAACCCATAATAAATAATCCCCTTCCAGTCCCACCAAATGCATAGAAAAACCTTCCTGGCCGTTTGAGGTGCTTCACCGCTCTTTGACCACGATCGTTTTCGCACAGGGTTATCGTATGTGATCCATTTCTCATCTCCAGTCACCATCCGTTTAAGAAATGGGTCTATCTCATTCCGTTTGGCCAAGGCTTCGCAGATGGAAATTCGATCCATCATGTTTTTTTCTGTTAGCTGGTGTGGCACCCAAACACCGAGCTTCTTTTTGAATCCAGCTTTGTATAAATGGTTTAAAACTGTTTTATGGTCGATTTTTAGCTCTTGGGCGATGTTACGACTGCTAATATGCCGGTCAACTTCGATCATTTTTCCGATTTTATCGACATTTTCAACGACCGGCCTACCTGTGCGAGGTGCATCTTTAACATCAAAAATTCCTGAACGGAATCTACGAAACCAAAATTGCACATAATATGCTGTTACAGTATCGGAACCATAAACACCATTTACAATTTTAGCCGCCTGGCTTGCATTTTCGTCTTTGTCAAAGAAAAACTGTAAAATGTACCGAATTTTCTCTTTGTTCACTTCCATTTTTAACACGCTGTAACTCACAACTGAATGCACCAAACAAAAAACAGCAAAAGAATTTTTTTTACTACGAAATGTACAGTATGTAAATGTACAGTATAGGAAATTGTTTGATCGATACTTTACGAGAAATCTATCAGTGCAGCCATCTACCGAACAAATAATGGATTTCTTTTTCCCCAAATTAATATATTAGAAACAATCCGCCTGAGTAGCCGAAGGCGAGGAATCTGGACTAGCAAGTCAATGGTAGTGGGTTCAAATTTCAAGTGCGGTAGAGTTTTTAATAAAAAGCCGATAGCCTTAGATGATAGTGCTTTTAAGAGTTTAGTTTTAGAATTTATTCTCTGACGAAATTAATAACAATAATAATAAAAATAATATATTAGAAAGGACCATTTTTAGGGCCACGCTCCATATAACGCTTGAATTTGAAAGAACCGTTTTGTACACCTTTCTCTGTAACCGTCTCCACAAAAAGTGACGCCGTTTACATAAATTGACATAGACGGACGAACGAGCCTAAATCAATTCCGTATTTGGTGCTGATTTGATAGTATTGGATAGTATTGCAGCATTGTTGCATTAAAAAAAAAACATGCAAAGTTTTAAATTAATATAATTAAGCTAATTATGTATAATTTTAATCTTTTATCTTTATATTTAACGTTTAGAGTTTAGATATTTAGAGAAGTTGTTTCGGGGGCTACACAATTGGCATTATAACAGGGCAAGCGCGGCGCTATACGATGGAATCTTCAAAGAGTTTGGCCAAACTTTGTTAATTTTGCCGAGTTATTCAAAATGTGGAATAGCATTGTTTTGACATCTGTTCTCTTTATCAATTTTGAAGAATTTACTATGATTGTGCGTTTTTTTCGTATACATGGTTTACTGCAAAAACTGAAAGCAATTGTCTTATAAATATTATTTAGTGTAGAAGATTTAAGCGTGTTATCTTGCATAATACATACACTCCTCCTCATTCTCCATGATTTCCATTCTAATCAGAATCATCGCTAGGGGAGTCGAACGAGACTAGTTTCTTTTTAGGTGTACTTTGATATATGAGTTTGCTGCCAATGAAGCTTTTTTGAATGTTGAGCATCCGATCATTGTGAAATTCAAGTTCTTGTTATATGTCAATGGTGGGTCCTTTTAGGTCTTCACGTGTGTTTTAATCAAATTCCATCTAGAAAGTAAGTCCATTATTATGTGTGTTAACTAATTTTTCCTTTAATAAAATTAAACGAAGATAATAATCAATCGTTATGCATTAATTTTCCCGTACTTCTAGCAGAATAAAGATTGCTTGACGAAATGACAATTCGTTTTTATTAGCTATCAACAAATTTTTAAAGAAATTTTTACTAAAAGAGTTTTAAAAGAGAAGTGTGGCTAAATCTGAGCGTTCGTCGTCGATTAAAACAGCAACGTCTAGTTAATAAATCTGGCTAATAGAAAATCAGAACCCTGCTTCGCTAATAGAAGGCCAAAAGGCAACCATGTCTCCAAATGAGCTGTTCATGAATATTGGTACACTGTGGCTGCAATGAAAACATGAATAGCGTTGGTCATAGTGCTCATGCGGTGTCTGTAAAATGCAGGCCTTCTCAATCCATCCTGGCCAGCAGATTGTTTTATAATGGTTCACAACGATTTTGATTTTTAGATACTTGCTACTAAGTGTTATTGTATTAATTCTGGTAGCTAAACATGTTCATATGTTTATGCAATCCAATAGAGTTTTACTGATAGCTTCCGCCGGCTGCACAGCTGCTGTGCTATGTTTTAGTGAACATACCACTCTATGAAAGTTATATTTCCAGGTATGTAGTCTGTTAAGTTGCTATGACTGGTTACATTATAAAAAAATATAGAAATTATATCTAATTATTTGATATTTACAGCGGGTACATATTACAAGTTAAAACAAGTTAGGGGTGGTACGTTATAAAAAAAATTACATAGGTAACATGTAATTAAGGAAGCGATATTTAGCCAATTGAATCGAAATCGATACATATACATATAAACATATATGAAAGCTAGTAATTCCCCAAAAAGAAAACAAATCTGCTTTGAAAAAATTGTTTACATCAAAAAAGCAAAAGTAAACGGTCAAGCACAGAAAAGTCAGAAAATGAAAATTCTGTTGCTTACGTGATACATTCTATTATCGTTCGTAGTTCGTAGTCTTACACGAAAATACTGGACAAAAATAAATAATTGTAATCATTTGACGTCTTTTGCTCTCTTCTTACAGCATTTGTTTTGACCTTATATGCGGAACGTGGACTGGCTTCTAACCATTTTGTGGCGTAAATGTTAGTAATATATTACTTTTCTGTATAACAATAAGACAACACATTTCGCTAGCAACATTTGCGCAACAAAATTATCAAGTCGTAATTCGATACGTCAGTATACACGAATAGTATGAAGGAGAGTAAGAGAAAGCAAGAAAACTAAAACAAAACACTTACCTGAATTTGTGCACTGTGTGTGTACGCACTGAAAAAATGTGTATCCCATAATTTTTTTTTGCTCTGCGAGCAGGAGGTAGAAAATCTTCAAAAGATTCTTAATGGTAGCATGCACGAATCACCATCCATGGCGCCTACGTACGAAAAAACCACCACTCCACACGCTTCTTCCACCACTCTCCCCCGCGGGACCACCCTTAGATATTACTTCGCGGAGGCCGGTTGTCGTTAGCAGGCTTCCGATGGTGGAACTTCTGTGGAATACGCTAAGAAGGAACGTCCGTCTTCCTTTGTTGTTCTTTCCCAAGGCGATTGCCAAGTTCTCATCGACGCTAGCCGCTCTTCTTTTTTGATGGCAGGGGGCGTTGATGCGGCTCCTTTCGTGGATGCGCTTCATTTCGCCCCCCAAAATGTCGACTGGCATGGCTCTAGCAATCGCAAGGGCAGCATCTTTCGATTGGTGAATTTCGGGCCGCCAATATTTCGCATAATCCTTCTTAACGACCCCTGAGTGTCGGTCGCTTTTTCAGCCGCGTACTCAACGGGGTGCTTAAAGTTGAGCCGATGGTCGAGCATAACTAGAAGGTGTTTCAGGGCAGGAGATGATTGGACCGTGCGGTGACCCACTCGTATACAGCATCTTTTCACGCGCTTCCAGCTGCTTATTAACACCGCCCCAGCTTTATGCTCTGCTAGCTCTAGCTTCATCTCTTGAAGTCACAATTAATCTGTATTATTCTCATTTCCGCTCTCTAATGGCCAGCACCCGTTTGAGCAACGGACATTTGCCTCTTTCCGACACGTGCTTTGCGTCCACATTCGGCGTCTCCCGGCAGAACAGGCAAGAAGGCTCCTTTGTGCAGTTCCACTGTATGACTTCCTTAAATTTAACACTTCTGCAGTTGTCACCGCGTATTGGAACTTAAGTGCATCCTCTCTGGTGGTGACTTCGGCGATATCTTTGCACTCGACTATTTTGCGTTGCTTCAAACACCTGACTTCTGCCTCCCCTTCTAAAAAGGAGCCAACTGCCACTCGGAGCTCTTCCGCTTTCCCCTGGTAAGGTGGCTACTCTGCGACGTTTGGCGGTCGGTGTGTCCCCGTCCCCGGGCTGCTTAGGTTTATGCGCCTCAGGCTGTGATCGCTTCGTCCCGCTTGCTTTCTGTAGCGGTAAGCTTTGCGAGCCCCAATCGCTTCGCCTATTGCATCGCGCATTTGTTGGTTTATGTACCGCCTTTTTCCATCATTATCCTGCAGTGTCACCACCGAATCTTTTATATAGCCGCCCAGCTTTACGAAGGTTACCAGGTTCTCCACATTTACTGGTGTGTGGCTTGACTTCTCGGGGAGCGTTCGTCCGAGATGAAGGTGCGTTTGCACGCCTTCTGGCGACTTCATTATTCTTCCGCTCACTTTGAAAGAGTTCTCTTCGCTCAAAGCGTCAGCGTGACCGATAGTACCTATTGGTGTATTATTTTGTTTGTTAGAAATCATTGTAATTGGGCCCATACAGAGAAGCCGCTATTCGGTTCCGCTGGTGCAGTTGCTGTTAGGATCCCATGGTTATTTTTGCAAGCACTGTGGCCATGCGGTGGGTTCACGCTAGCGTTTATGAGACTAGCGTTCAGTGCCAGGTGCAGCATTAGCCAGGAGTTCTACTTAAGTGGACCTACACGCGCCAACTTAACGATGCAGCCAAGTACGTACTTCCCAGACTTGCCATAATTTTAACGGGCAGGGGGCGGTGTCAGCATTAACCCAAAAGCCATTTCAGCTGGATGTCACTCCAACTTACTTAGGTAACGGAATACTGCCACCATCAACTAGAAATCCTCAATTCAAGTAGGTGTTCCGGAATACCGTAATCAAGATCTGGGCTCGGCCTATCCATATTCGTCGAACTGTCTCCCTTGATGCCACCCCCATACTAAAAATGGGGAGCATCTATTTAAAAAACGGCGCTTATACCTCCTGCCACCGAAGATTCGCAGGGTTATGCGGCCTTTTCAGCCACCCCTCCTCCTCTGCCTCTCTTGGTCCGGGACTGCTTATTAGTTATTCTCAGCTAGCCTACAGATATACCCTTGGGTACATTCACGCCGATCACAATCCGCCACCTGTGACTCCTACAGTAGCCTGAGCAAAGCCCTGGCCTTGTATCCCATAATTTGAATAGACCTGTGGATGAGAGTATTCGTGTATAGTAGAAACACTTGTGTGAGGTTTTGCATGCCTATGTTTAAGCAAAGATCATATGTAAACGGATAAGCAATAGAATCTTCAATTTTGGATTTTTCTATTCTTGGCCGTTTTCACTTTTGGTATTTTGTTGTGAACACTTTTTATGAACATATTAGTCTTCCTGTTGGAGGATTGCTATTATTTTTATTGTTATTATCATCCTTTCTAATTTATACTATACGTATTTTTCCTCCTGTTTTTATAAGCAAAATATATTATTATTATTGTATCCAATTTCCTTTTCATCAATATTCGACCTTGCCCAAAATGTCATATAAAAGAAGTGTGCAAAAATACACATTTCGACGACGACGCCTTTACCAACTACGCCACTACAGTAATAACTTACTTTTTGCTTGAAATTAGCACATATATTTCACGTGCACATTTCTTATGCACATTTCCCATAGAAAAATATCATTTGGCGTTTTATTTCCAATGTCATTTCTCCTTAATAAAATTTTATCAAGAAATGAATTGGATTATGAATTTATTTGGCAAATATATTTGCAGAGAGAACGATTTTGCCTGATTCGTAACGGACGATGACTGCCAAGCCAATCGCCTTAATTATTTAGATAGTTTAACTAAGGTGTTGCTTTTTAAAAATGTTAAGTTTTTATCAGACAGTTTTTTATGTGACAATAGGATAAGGTAAAAAAATTAAAAAAATTTATTATTGTGCACTTTTTCTTCTATAGTTTTTTTTTTAAATCATTAATTTACTAACTATTTGTATATTTTATTATATTATTTATTATACTAATTTATTATATTACTTATCTATTAGAAGCAGTTGTGCGTTATGAATGTAAAGTATATTTCGTACTTTGAATGTAGAATTAGAAAAATTATATTTTAAACAAATAGAATATGGAAATAAAAATAAACTAGATGTTAGGAAATTAATTTTTGATAAGTTTGTGGAGAAAATTAATGATAGGTTTACCATGGACAATGATCGCAACGAGCATAGGCGCTGGACTTTATTTTAAGAACTTTATTGTAAAAAAATTCGGAATGCTTGACTAAAAAACAGTTCAAGTTGCATAAGCTCGGATTAAGGACTAGTTTTTAATATTTTATTTTAGTTTTTAATATTTTATCTATCAAATGATAGTTTAATTCTGGAATATAAACAATACAATAGTAATATAATATAAATAGTCGTGTAGAATAATTCATATGTAGTGTGGAAAATTGGAAAAAATATATCAAATATATATGTGTAAGCACATAAAATTATTAACCTGCAAATAAGATGAGTAAATTATATAAATAAACTAAAACATAACTTTTTTTAATAATAAAAATCTTCTTCATATTTGTTTGTATTAAAATTTTGTCTGAAATTTATCAAAGCATTTGACGAACGTAGAATTTGGAATTCTTCAGTTTTTCAAAATTAATAACGGAAAGAAAACAAATTATATTTGCTACATGCACACTTCTTGTTTGGTTTCTTTTTATACATATACACTTATATGAGCACCATAGCCAATATACACTTAAAAACATAGGATTTTATGTGCTTTTAGTTTGCTGTTTAAAAGAATACGACGTCAAATCAAGAAACTATTAACAGAACCCATGTCCATAGAAATAATGAAAGTTAACGAACAACTATGCAAATATTTGATAATTAAGAGTGCTACCACTGTTGTTGATAACATATACACAAAAAGTGCCTAAGATTTTCGTAATCTCAATCTTGAAAAAAGTGTTGGAACTTTTATGTGTTTGTTTCCCTCCTGACCCACTATGAACATTTCTGTGCGGTAGTAAAATATATTCACTATACGTGAGCGTGGTTGTATCAGTGCTATGCTAAAAAGGAATGTGTGCCCTTTTGCGTGCGTTTGCTTCAGCTTACTTGTATCAACATAGGCAATGTTTCAATTTTTGATTTTTTTGCTTGACAATTTACTTTAAACATTTTGGTGCCAACTCTCCTTTACATATATATTTAACATATTTCCTTGAATTTTCAATATTTTTCCCTATCTCCATATATATGCCATGTTTAAAATGTATACAAATATATTTGTCAAATAAACCCACCCATTTCTAGCTCGAAAAATTTATAAATAATAACCAATAATAGTAATGTACTTTTTTAATAACATTAATAAGAAAAATATGTGTAGTACCCATTAGGAAAACTAATTATAGCGAAAATTTCATTGCTATAAATAGATATATCGATAATAATAATAATCTCCAAGAAGAATTTGTTTATAAAAACATTTCGAATGAAAACACGTCATATTAAAGCATACACATGTTCTCACCGCTTGTCTTTAGACGTACATAGTACATAAATTTAGGTAATTGTGTTCGTTTCTGCTTGTTTGCTCTCTCTTACTCTCTTTTATAACTTTTGTTTATATTGTATGTCTGGTATGGTACTTAATAATTTTCTTGCGCAAATGTTGCTAGTGAAATCCTGCATATGTAAAGTTTTTCTATTATTTATATATTTTTTTGATTTTGCATGTTCAATGTTTTAGTGTCTTGTTATATATCATGTTTTTGCTTCACGTCAGACAATAGTGAGGCTTTGCTTCTGACATTCATCTTAAAAAAATGATGTTGCTTTTGCTATTAGGAATTCATTTAAGGCTTTTGTAGGCACCCTCTTGGATTTGACTAAAGTAAAGAGGACCACTTTTATGACAGACTGTAAATCAAGACAGTGATCTTGCGAAATTAATATAGGTCGTTTCCAAGGACTTTTCCTAACTGCTTTGCTTTCATAATACGCGGTAAAGAAAGGTAAACGTTGAAGTGATCTAAAACTTATCTTGATTATAATGAATGGTGGACAGATTCCTGAAAATTAATAGGTTCAATTGTAGCTATAGATTTGTTCGGTTTTCAATACATATATAATTTTGTAATGCCGTGTGAGATCGACGTACGCAGATAAAGTTTTGGGCTTTTTAGCTTATTTTTGTTTAATGTCCGCTGGTTTAACGTTTGAATAGTTTTATTGGGTGCTTTTCACTTTTTCTTTATTGTTGGTAGGAACTGTGCTTCTGCGTCAACATCTGCTGTGTATTTGTAAACTTAGTTATATTTATGCTCTTTTTCTCTCAACAGTATTTGAATAAAACGCATGATATACAAATAATTGAGAGCATATGTCATAGAAACTATCATTTACTATATAGTAAGCAATTCTTAATCAGTCATTTAATTTAGCAAAAAATTCAGCACAGTCAGTCATTGGAAAACGTTAATAAAAACTGACATTCTTGGCACCCAAGCTTACCATTTCTTAAAGGGCACGCAGACTGCACGGTCGCAATAAGAAAATAAAATAAAACCTAAAAAATCTAAATTTGCTACATCTAACTATTATGTTAAAAGTTAAATTGCGTTGTACAAATTCTTTTACTTAATTTTTATGTCAAAGTACTGATCAATTTTCACCACGAAATATTTAGCAAAAAATTTTTTTGCTATATAAGAGTTTATATGTCAAAAAAAAAACCCTAACATAGAATGATGTCTAGGGAATAGACCCATGTGCTGTACACTCTTGGTGCAATTAATTTCTATATTATGTTGCTATTGTGGACCAATTTCCACTATGAAGTATTGGAATTCCGGCATTTTAAAACGGTGTGGGAAATCTAGATTGAAGCGGACAATGATTTGAATCTTCTCCCATAAAACCATTTCTAAAAGACCAATTCTTTTTATGTCAAAAATTTAACTTTACATACATCATGGCGACGATTGATCCATATGAAAATCTTTGAACTCAATCCAATTCAATGGTTCTCTAGAGTTATTCATATATAATGTTATAAAACTCGCATATCTAGATACAGCGCGTATCACTGAATCGTGGATATTTTGTTCAATAAAAATACATTTCAAAGTTCTTTTATTTACAATTGTAAATAAAAGTAGGATTATTTATTTACAATTATACTTCTTAAATTTACTATTATTCACAATTTATTTTGGCTGTACTCTCAACTCAAATGTTCTTGCCCGACTAACGCCCTTCCACAAATATTCTATTCACAAGTATGTTACCATACCAAAGTTTATAGTTTGTATATTTAATCCCTGTCTGCTTTTCCCGCTCATCATTTTCATCAGCCTGGAGCTGCATGACGCCCCTGCGAATGTGCATTTGGTTTTTATCTGGTTGCTTTTCCACTAATCGTTATCATCGGCCTGCAGCTGTATAACGCGCCTGCGAATGTCCATTTGGTTTTTCGTTCTTTAGGAAATTTATTATATGTTGAAATTAAGTGGATTTGGGATTTTCGTAACCATCATAACGAAATTTTAATGCTTCATGAAGAGAACCGGAAAGGAACAATAAGATGGACATGAATATTAACTATGTTAAATGTTTGGCGCTCTTCTCATGTAAAAATTTCTAGGAAAAGTACCCCTTTATATGGGAGTACTATACAATTATTTATATTTTATAATGAAAATAAGTACAGGATTCTATTCGGTTAACCAATCGCTCTCGACCAACTATAATATTTCCAATTGTTTTTCCATCTTATTTCTTGAAGGTTGTAAGAAAGCGCATCCTCCTTAGTAATGTTATATTGCAAACATAACTGTTTAAAGAAATATTGCAATATTGTAATTACGTGAGTTTGCCGTGTACTACACGCTAGTTATTGCGCCAGCAACTTAAAGAGATTTCTGTAAAAGAATAAGAAAACGGCCGTTGCGGCACGAACATAAAAAGGAATAAGAACACTTCAAAAAAATTAACAAGACGGCAATAATGAATGTCGTACCATTTTTATGCCTACAAGGACAATGATTTAACGTTACCATATATAAATTGACTTGCACATAAAGCAGTGAGAGTCACCCTTGGCAGGATGGCCAAGCACTCAGTTCATAACTCTAGCCGCCAAAATTTTTTTGGCGCCCAAAGGACGGTTAAAAAATCATATTCTCAATTTATCTTTCTTGTCGTAAGACAGTTAAGCCTAAGATCATACCAGAAGAACAACATAAAGCAAAATCAACAAGAAAAACGAAAATTTATTTAATTGGTGTAAATTTCTTGGAACGCACTTATGGAGGTAGGCTCAAGCGTCTGTATTACTTTTTATTTCTAGGTGATATATACGTAGAGAAGATTTTTTTGATACAATTCATTGGTCCATTAGCCACGGCTGTCTAGTAGTGCATAGAAATGGTTTGATCGTGCTTTATTAAGGCTTTCAACGCGTTTATATAATGTCTCTTCTTTTCCAGCTAACGCAAACATATAACATTAGATTCTTTTGGCATTATTTTAATTAGAAACTGCTTTGCTGTTATTTTGCTCTACATTATAGAGTATTTTTTCGGATTCTTCAAGGGCAGTCCCATATTCGTACAATTCCCTGGCGGTCAAAAAGAAGTGAAAGGAGAAAGAAAACAAGAAGTACCGAGGTGGCAGCCGCCACCTAGTATATATGTGTCCACTCGATAAGATAGGCCTCTACCGACTCACTCACTATAGCTACCACCAAAGTAAACTCTATGGCATTGAGATTTGACCTGTGAACACTGACTCGGTAGTTGTAGTTTTTGCTTATTCAGCGACCCATGCCGATGAAGCAACTATTAATGTTCATACGATTTTTATTACAATTTCAGCGCTGATTGACAATCACTTTGGATGCATCGGAAGCAGATTGGTTGATTCATTTGCTCTGATATATGATTAACCTTATTTTAACGCAGGCGAACTATTACAACTATTACATCCTTTCTTTTTAACATTGCTTTTCTAGGCTTTGCTATAAGGGTGAGCTTCGCTAGCAAAAAAGGAATATGTAACTACACTTTAATGTCGGTCATTGCATTTTCCACATGAATGGAAACAAACTTCTTACATTCTACATTGGCGGACGTTAAAATATTCCCTTGTATTGTGTCAGTGTTTTTACCTCAAGAAGATAAAAATTTTCGATTGTCTGGATTATCAAAGCAAACGTAATTAATAAATACTTCATTTCTGCCATGTGATCATATAGACGACATTCAGAGGTTGGTACGGATATTTTCTAAGGCCACCTAAGAAATCAAAGTGATTACTGTCCGTATTGGTCAATTAGGTTATTTTTTGGGTTATTTTAAGGTAGTTATAAGTTTTCTTTTTCTTACTTACATGAATATGTACGCATACTCTAGTAGTCATGTATCATTCGTTTTTCAAGCACCACAACTTCCGATTGTTTAACGAACAAAGGATTTCGAATGTAAACGGAGCTAATCTTTCCAAAAACCAATGTTCACTTACTTGCAATGAAGATTATATTTTACAATGTTCTTTACAGTATAGAGTGATTTAGTCATACATGCGCATACAGATTGTGTATGTACATATAAATGTATTCATACGTATTTTATATATAATTTGTATAATTATAGGGCATATCAACTTTCAATACAAAGCAAAACAATATAGATGTGATAAAGTGCACGGAGAAGCCCGCAGAGGTATTAGTTCAAACATCAGAAATAAGCAAAAAATTTAAATTCTTTGAAACATATCGCCCCGTTGAGAATAAGAAACGCATTTTTCGTATTACTCCCCCCCGAGAAGGTGTCGTAAACTTGCCTTCGCCAGAAATGGAAAGAAAAATTTCCTTAACTAAACAATCTCTATCGGAAACTCATGATCTTGAACGATCGCATATGACGTCTTTAATGATAACCAAATTCAGAGAATTAGAAAATGGCTTACAACCACATATTCGCCACGGATGTTTCCGAACAATAAAACATTTGACACCACCTATCGAACAGAAGAGAAAGTGGGATGCAGGAAGTGATTATGACACTGATGATGGCGTGGATTACGTTAGCAGTGAAGATAGTAATGAAAATGCTGAAGATAGCGTTATTTACCTAGATCATCAAATCTTGCGCGAGGTAAGTAAAAACCTATAGAGTTTTATTTCACCTTGTACATTCTAAACAAAAGCAAAACTTTAAAAATAAGTTGGAGAGCATTTATAATTGACTGATGGATTATCTGTGCAAAATGAATATATATATTGTGGGCTTAAAGCAATCTACTTACCTACCACATCTGTTATCAAGGCTTTCAGACACGCTTAAATGTAAGGCTTGAGTTCACTTGCCAACTCTCTCAGAAGAAAAATATAAAAACTTTTTTTATGTACGGACGTTAATTAATTCTCAACTACAGAAAGGTTGTATTAAAATAAATATGATGATTTCAACCGGGAGTATTTGGCAGGATAAAATATTTAACTAGTGGGATAAAATAATTAATACATATTAGAATTAAACAACCTTAACACACTGTTCTCAAATTTCAGCCTTTAACGCGTATTTACCTAAGACTCTTTTATAAATTATTTAACTCAACGATCGACCGAATATTAATATATTCGTTATTTTACAATTTTTAAGGCTCAGACGACAACTCGTGCTAAACAACTTTGTGCAAGATTTGAAAATTGGCAAGTTGATGAAATTGACAGACGAGTAAACGATGGACCCATCAACGCTAACCCTATATTCGCGTCTGAGGATAGAACAAGCGAAGGTACAAAAGTGTAAGTGTACTCGCATAGCTACTGTGTTGTTAATGTCCAAGTTTTTTAGCTTTTTTCATTGTAAATAAAGGTTATCAAGTATCTTGGTATTTATAGATTGTTTTGTATTGTCACAACAAACTTTTAGACTGATACATTATAAATAATTTTAGCAATAATTTTAAAAATATATAGAGAGTATAGTTTTGCTTTTTAAGAAATTTTACAGAATAATTCCAAAGAATGGTCAAATAATTTCTTCTAGATTCTGGACTTGTTTATCTGGATCGTTTAAATCAGTAAGCATTTGTTTTAGTCATGAAAGGCGAAAAATAACGCCTGGTGATTACAGTAGCCGCTCTTCTTTCTTAGCAGTTCATTTCATGTATCTAAAACTCCGATGTCACGCGTATATAGATTAAGTTCATTGAAAAATTTTATTAATTTACCTTATGCTATCTGCTTTTGCTTGATGCCTATATTCATTTTGTGAAATCGTTTCAAACACCTCGAAGGAAGCTTCAGAGACCCCACAAAGTATATATATTTTTGATCAGTATCAAATTCTAAATCGATTTAAGCATGTTCGTCTGCGAAATGTCTTTCTTCTGGCCACAAGAATGAAGCTAACAACTTCAAATTTAGCAGATACTTTGGAAATCCTTCCACGAAGGTTGGTATTGAAACTGGGCCAAATTGATTGAAGGAGATGACTGCAGTACCAGATAAACTGAGGAAACCTTTGTTTTTGCAGGGAAATAATTAGTTTTTTGCTCATTACTCATAAACTGAAGCATATAAATCTACAAAATTTAGAAAAGGTATTCTATGAGCATTTGTAGGAAACACATAGGAAAAACTGATCACGTTGCCCACTATTATAGTTAACAAAAATTAAAATTTTTCTTTTTAATGATATAGTGTATATACATTTTTGACCAGTTTCAAAATCGGATTGCGCCTCAAACATGTTCGTCCGTTCATCTGCCCATCTGTCTGTCTGCCCAAATGCTTGGTATCTGTGGTAGCACTCCTCCGGTTGCAAAAATGAAGATATCGTCTAAAAATTTGCAAAACAGTTTGAAAATTACTCAAACCAAAGGACATGTCCAAAAAAAAACTGTGAATACATTTGCTCTCTATTTTTTACTTTTTAATCCTAAAGTACGTACACAATATAAATACCCTCTTTCAGTTTGAAAATAGAAAAAAATTAACCGCACCCACCCAATATTAATAAGTACGAAATTTTAGTTGTTTTTTGGTCTTTTTTAGGGTAACGGTCATAAGATTCAAAAGATTCGGTCACGATCGAATATAAGTTTCTCTGTTTCCTTTTTTTTGCCATTGAACAAATTTTTGGATGCTAAATCTTATATGCGCCTTTCCTATGCTTTTGCTATCTTGCATTTCAGTAAATTTATTACTCTTGTTTTCATCCATATTATCTCGTTTTATTCAATTGATAGAGTTAAGCAATGTTCTGAATTTGCCTATTATCTCTCTACTCAATTTTAACGACAAAGAGCTCAAAGTCTTTATTTCTTACTTTTGGCAGACACAAGTTCGTAGAAACTGCGGGCTAATGTAAAATGTAATCACTTACTGTTAGTTTGCCAAAGTATTTAATAAAAGTAAGTTATCTGTGTTAATCATAGTTTGTCTTATAAAACTTGACAGCCTTATATTTATCCAACATATAAGGTACCTAGAAATTGTAACTTTGAAACGACCACAAAATATAACATCTTGTATTCGAACAGCATAGAGTGAGTAAGCGGAAACTGATTTTAAGGCAATCTGGCAATATATGTCCGATATTTATTTAATCAAAATTATTTATGCGTTTAAGTAAACTGAAATACTTAAAACAAAACATGTCGTATAAATCGAATTCTATATTAGAGTGTTTCACTGTTTTGCTACCAATATCGATCTTCTTTTAAAACGTAAATTGCATTTGCTGCATACTCTCCCGGCCATAACAGGATCGATACTTCAACAATGTTGTATTCGACGTTTTTGTTTGCTTGCAGATGCCACATATATAGTAGTGGTTCGTATCTCAGAGATGACTGTCGACTTTTATGTGGGGAAATACAAACGCTAAAAAAGATCTTCTAATTTAGCAAGTAAAATGAAAATGTCAATATTAAAGCGATTTTAACGATCTGCTTGCAATAAGTGCATTAAAAGTTCTCTAAGTCATACAAGCTTCAATTTAATAAAGCAAGTGAAACTCAATAATTGCAAAATATAAAGCCAAAACTATCCTGACACCGTTAAATTTCCTTATAGTCGTAATAAAGCAAAAAACAATAAAAAGAGAAAACTTTATATGAGCGCAAACATCTGCATATGACAAAGCTTTGTACGATGCGAAAAAATATCAACCGCAACTTTTGCAGTAAGATGAAAAGCCATGTAGGCCTTTGAAAGGGCCTGAAATAGAAAGGAAAACTTAAACTTCAGACTTCAAAAAAACCAAAAACAAGAACTCTAGAAGGATCGAAAAGCTATAACAAGGATAATGATAACAAAAATATTAACAATCTCAGTACCGACATTACCGGGAATTGCGGCTACGGAACCGTCAATAACAAAAATAGGTAAAAAAAATTGCTCTATGATAACATCGCATTATCCAACATGCAATAACAGCAATGCAACGATAACATCACCAATACTTACATCCTCAACAAGGAAAGCAACGTCGGTAATAGCATAAACGCACAATGAAAATATAATTAACAACGTCAACATTAACGGCGCTATTAAAGAAACAACGATACCAGCAGGAGCAATCGAAAAAGCAACAATTAAGATAAAACGACAATGTCGTTAATAGCATCGGTACGAACAGTAACAAAATGTTTGTTACAACATCACTTACAATAAACAGGACTTACTTCAATAACAATGGAACGAATACCGTACAACGCGAAAATATTAACACCAACGATAATAACAATAGCAAAAACTGTGTGCCAACTAAATCGCGTCAATAACAACAACAAAAACAGGGTCACCAGTAACTGTAGACACAACAAAAAAAACAGTACAAAACAACCATAACAAATCAGCAGCAACAAAACCATAAAAATAACAATTATTATTAACGGTATTGACATCCTATCCAACAAAATAACCTCTATTCTTAACAATTCCCTGAAAGCCCAATAGTTGTCTTCGGCGCTTTTAATGTCCGCAATAAAAGCTGGTTGCGCCATTCAACCTGTAACTCCGCTGGGACGCGACGCAGACATTATGGCACTTGAGAACTGCCTAATTCAGTTTATAAATGAACCAAAACGCATTCCAAGCATGTGTTGGAACAAAATAGACTGTATCTTTTTCTTCATACTATATTTCTCAGTGATTCGGACCACTGTATCCTATCTGCATTCTTTTCGTGTCATAATTTTCAGTATGTTCGTTCCCCAGACCTAAAACGTGAAATTTTTAAGTATGATAAGGCAGATTTGGCAGAATTTAACCACTTTTTTAGGCATTTTAGTTTGATATTTTCTAATTTAATGGACAGTTACTTCAATAATAATGTCAAGGACGTCAACTGCAGAAATGATACAAAAGACTATTAAAAACAACTTTGTTAAAACAAAATGACAAATGTTGATTTAACCAAAATCGCAGAGTTTGAGGCACTTCCAAAAATGACTCATGTTTGGCGTCTTAGCTCAAACAAGCAAATTAATTCTTTTGAAAAAGAAATCTTGGAATGTTTATAACCAGATATTACATAGCGAGCTTTTAGTCGTCCGAGAAAAAAACTGTATATAAATCTACTATGTTGATCCCGTCTCCTTTTAACAAGGACTGAACAATATAAAAAACGATAACAAAATTAATGTGCGGGCTGAAATGTTTGCTTCAAACATCCTTGTGGGCCGGAGCCTTTAAATCTTGCTTGGGGACGTTTGACCCCACACAGCGAAAAGTTCATGTGCTTATCGATTACGGAATTTCGTTCAAAGGTGTCGATATCTTCGAGCAAGGGAGCAATGTGAGTTGTGTAGTGCTTATGCATAGGTACAAGGTATTAAGGAAAATGTCTGTCAGAGGAGAAAGGGACTTATCCAACCGGACCACAAGGCTATGTCCACGTGTATAACGTAACTCGTCGTTTTTTAATCTTTGAAACAAGCTGTCAGTAGTGGTCTTTTCAACCGTGCCTGGTGCTTTCACTTTAAAGATAAACTTACACAAACACTCTATCCACTTCCATCTCCGTCTATCTATAACCCTTACTGAACACCAGACTTCCACATACAAGGGACAAATTGTCGGATATACCCTGAAATTTGTTTGGTGGTTTTGAACGACTAAAGAAACGTTTTTAGGCGTTGGACGGTTTAAGCCAAATCCCCACAGGAGCTCAATGGACGATCATGGGCCTATTTGGTTAAATCATTAGTAAAGTTGGATGGAGCTCATAACTTCCACGGTTGTTGCGGCGGTAGCGCAATCCGATTACCTGTAAAAATAGCCATCTTTTAATGTCTATGACGGGAAAATACTTAAATTTAACCTGAAGTTGATCTTTTAAAAAAACCTATAGTTGGAATCAAATCACTTTCCACGGAGTCGGTAAATTTCTCTAAGAGTAAGATATCCGGATCTAAACTATAAACATCGTTCAAATTTTTGGAGTGATCGCAGGACACCGAATGGATGTGTGAGCTATCTTTCCGGTACTTAATCGTAAAATTGAAGTCCTCCAACTTCAATAGAGATCTGGCCAAATAACCGTGTAAAACCTTTTATTACATCAGCCGTTTAAGAAAAGCGTGATCTGGGATTGAAAATTTTCCACTTTCATCATGGAAGTCGCAATGAATAGAAAAGGGACGAGTGAAATGTGGCTTATGTCACGGAGGCGCAGAACTCCTTAAAGTGTTCAAAAAAGACTACAGTTTCTTCTAACCATTAGAAAGTCTTCTATTAACACGTAGGCAGAATTGGGAACAAAACGATGGTGCCAACCGTGAACAATAACAACT